AAAGAGTAAAGCAGCCCATGATTCCTCATGGCCCCTGGTTCAGAAAGACCCTGAAGGCAACACTGAAAGACAAAAGACTGACTGGGAAGAAGTTAGTTTGCAGTGTGCTCAGCAAAGAATTAGTAGTAGCCATCATAAATAAAGAGCTTCTCTAAATCAATAACATGAAAAATCAATAGGAAACTGAGCTAATCGTGCAGGAAAGTAAACCCAAAGGATCAATAATCCTCTCTGTGCACCAGGGAAATGTAAATTAAGACAGCAAACTATCACTCCATGACAACAAATTTGGCAAAAGTGAAAAAGTCTGGCGTTATCAAGCCCTTGCAGGAAGGTGGGAGGAGAGAGATCCCAATACGTGGCTGGTAGGAGGGTGAATTGTACAAGCACTTGGTGTGTGTGAAACAATTAATGTTTTGCAAAAGCTCTCTGCTGGGTGCACTTTGGGTAGGAGACTGCCCAGAGGCAGAGGATTGGCTGTAATGTTCTCTAGGGAGACTGAAAGATGAGTCCCTTTCCTCCTGAAAGTGTCCTGCTGAGAAATCACAGACACTACTCTTGTCAAAGACATCCTGGCGCTTACAACTTCACGCCCCTCTCCTTTCTTCCCCTCCTTCTCTGCCCACCCAGACAGCCCCCACAGCTCAGGTCACCAGATGAGGCGGTTGAGTCAGCCTGCGGTCCTGCCCTCAAGGGGCCCCCCATCTGCAGGGGTGACAGGCAGGGAAACAGTCACTTATCCATGCATTCGAAGAATACTGACGACCGCTTCGTGCCCTGCACGGGGCAAGGCCAGCTCTGCAGTTAAGGCCACAGCAGACACGGACACATGTCCTCAGGGAGCTCACGTTTAAGGGAAGGATGACAGCCCGTCCAGAGCGCATGTGAAAGGGGCGGGGAAGGAGCAAGAAGGGGGTGTCGGATGGGGGCCCCACCAGGCTGGGCAGGAACATGCCCAGCTGCACATGCCAAGGCCCAGGGGCTTGTTGAGGGACCTGCATTTAGTCCAACAGGGGGCACATGGGGTAGTAGGGATGGAGAAGGCCCCATCCTGCTGGCTTTCACGGGGCACTGGGGAGCCACAGAGGGTGTTGGAGCACAGAAGGACTCGAAGGCTAAACTGGCAAAGGCAAGGCAGGGTCCAGGAAAACAGCAGGTACGTCTCCAGGTAAGAGGTGGGGCCAGACCCTCCTCCGGATGCCGATCCAACCAAACTGACTGCTGAAGCCTTTTTTTGAGACAACTGGGGAAACGGAACACGGACTGGGTATTTGGACACTAAGGCATTACTGTTAAATTCTTTCAGTGGGATCTTTGTTGTTAGGGGTTTTAAACTACCCTCGCCTGTTAGAAATTCATATGAAGAGTTTCTGCGAGAAGCAGTGTGTTGTCTGCATTTAGTTGTAAAAGTGTTCAAGTTACGGTTCTGTCAAACAACCACATGAAAAGACACGGATCCAACGCACATTAAACCACAAGGCCGTCCCACCGCACACCTGTCAGGGCGGCCGGCCGTAAAGGAAAAAACGGACAAACCAGCAAACGGACACACGGTGCCAGACGGGGCGGCCACTGTGGGAGCAGGTGGTCAGTCTCTGATAAAGTCAGACAGGCCTCCTGGCCAGGACCCCGCTTCTGGGTGTTGACCCTGGAGATACGGCAACGTATCCCACAGAGACCCAGATTCTCACGGCAGCCGTGTGTGCGGGAACCAAAACCCAGAAACAAGCACATATCCTTCGGTGGGTGCGAGACGCCCCCACAGCGGCCCCTCCCAGGGGAGCGGGACTCCGTGCTGGGGCAGCGGCACGTGCCGGAGGGTAGCTGTGGGCCGCCGGGGCGGAGTCGGGCCTGAGCTGGGGCCGGGGAAGTGCAAAGGACCAGATTGAGAATGGACTGAACTCCGCTGTCACCTCTGAACCGCCGTTGTCCCGCCGCCGTGGGAGCAGACGGCTCCGGCTCCCCTGTGACTCCCGACGGTTCAGGGAAGCAGTCACACGTCTGTTGCCTCTTGTCCTTCCGGAGCCGCTGAGCCCCCGGGGGGAGCTGGGGAGCTCCAGGGGGAGAAGGGCACCCACCTCAGACGTGTGTATGCTCCAGATGTTACTCCGGACCTTCGGGGTGGCCAGTTCCCGCAGGCGGCTGGACGCTCGGTACTCCAAGGTGGACCGGGGAATGGGCCAGATGGGGGTGGTCCTAAGGGAGAGGCAGGCCTGAGACCCTAACCCGCCACCCAGGGCCATGTCTGTGTGCTTGTGTGTGTACGACTCCTCTCTGACTCTGGGGCTCAGGGAGAGCCTGGTGCAGTGCAGGGTTTTCAAAATACCTCCAAGAGGGGTTCCTAAAAGAATCCCTAACAGAGCCCCCTATTCTCAGGGATGGAGCGACCTTCTCCCTGGTAGTCCCCTCCCAGCCGTCTCCCCTACTCCCACCATCAGGCTGGGGTCAGGAGGTGGATCGAAGGGATGAAAGTCAGCCCTGCCACCACCCCACCTCCTAAAATCGGGTCTCAGCTCCGCCTCTGCCCCAGAAACAGCCGTATTTCGCTGATCCGAGGCAGACTCTTATTTTCACATCTCTGAGGCTGGAATGCAGTGGATAAATACTGTCAGCCCGACAAGAAGGCCCGGGGCCATCCATGACTGGCTGTGCTCCACGGAGCTGTTTACACAGAGGTCATCCCAGATTATAGGCCGTACAGAGGTCACCCCAGATTACAGGCCGCACAGAGGTCACCCCAGATTACAGGTCACACAGAGGTCACCTCCCAGATTACAGGCCGCACAGAGGTCACCCCAGATTACAGATCACAGAGGTCACCCCCCAGATTACAGATCACACAGAGGTCATTCCAGATTACAGATCACACAGAGGTCACCCCAGATTACAGGTCACACAGAGGTGCCTCCAACAGATTACGCTCCAACCAGCATTAAGGTGAGAAGCTGTGGTCACAATGACGGCCACAGAAACGGTGGCTGGAGCCTGTCAACGTGGGTGAGTGGGGCTCTCGGGCATGTGTTCCTTTCCACACGTGCGTGAGATAGGAAACCAGTCTGTGTCTAATAACACCAGACCCCACGTCAGCAAGCGTGGAAGGCGCAAGAACTGAGACAGAATCGTGCCAGGAGGCAGGCGCCTAAAACCATCAGTCTCACAACCATCACCTGCCCAGAGCGACACCAGCACCTGCCCTGCAGCCCTGAGAGCCTCCTGCGTCCTGTCTGGGGAGCCGAGCTTCAAAGGCTCACTGCCTGGCCGCCGTGAATGGGTCTCCTGGTCCCAGGACCTGGACCCTCCCCTGCAAGCCCCGAGGAAAAGGGGTCCCTGCCCGGCCGCCCCCTACCTGTTGTTGTTGTAATACTCCGAACAGAACCTCTTAGGTCGACGGGACACCTCTGCACAAAAGGAGAAACAGCTCCCTGGAAACCTGCCCCTCCCCGAGGGCTTCCTTCCTCCTGAATCCAGCTTCACACAAGGGACAGCTCACAGCAGACACCCTCACCTGGGGAACGCGGAGCACACAGGGGTGGGAGGGAACGGGGGCTCAGGCTCCTCTGCAGGATGGGCCTGGGCTGCAGGGGCCTCCGTGCTCACTGCAGGGGATTCTAAACCCAAGAGAGAACTCGCCCTGAGCGGCTCTCCAGAAATGAGTTTTCTAGTACTGACCCCACTTTGACTGAGATGCAAACTGATTTCCCATGGAGAGCTTGCCCCCCACCCTCCCCCGCCAGGACCAGCCTCCAGCTTGGGGACAGACTCCAGAGAGGAGACCCCTGGAAGACTGGGGGTGGGGGCGCTCCTGGGAGATGGGGGAGGGGCAGTCCCACAGGGGACCCCTGGGAGGGTTGGGGCCGGGAGGCCCCTCAGTCTCCCCAAACAGAGCCAGGTGCAGGTCACGGTGAGATGGGGGTGACCCGGCCACAGGCACCTGGCCAGCCCCCCTCCCCCTGATGCCCCCCACCCCCTGCAGAGAAGGAGTTAGGGTTAGGGTCAGGGTCAGGGTCAGGGTCAGGGTTAGGGTCAGGGTCAGGGTCAGGGTCAGGGTCAGGGGTACAGTTTAGGGTTAGGGTCAGGGTCAGGGGTTAGGGTTAGGGTTAGGGTTGGGGTCGGGGTCAGGGTCAGGGTCAGGGTTAGGGTTGTTAGGGTTAGGGTTAGGGTTTGGGTAGGGTTAGGGTTAGGGTTAGGGTTAGGGTTTAGGGTTAGGGTTAGGGTTTAGGGTTAGGGTCAGGGTCAGGGGTTAGGGTTAGGGTTAGTGTTGGGGTCGGGGTCAGGGTTAGGGTTAGGGTTAGGGTTAGGGTTAGGGGTTAGGGTTAGGGTTAGGGTTGTTAGGGTTAGGGTTAGGGTTTAGGGTTAGGGTTGGGGTTGGGGTCGGGGTCGGGGTCGGGGTCAGGGTCGGGGTCAGGGTTAGGGTTTAGGGTTAGGGTTAGGGTCAGGGTCAGGGTCAGGGTCAGGGTTAGGGTTGTTAGGGTTAGGGTTAGGGTTAGGGTAGGGTTAGGGTTAGAGTTAGGGTTTAGGGTTAGGGTTAGGGTTAGGGTTTAGGGTTAGGGTCAGGGTCAGGGGTTAGGGTTAGGGTTAGGGTTAGGGTTGGGGTCAGGGTCAGGGTCAGGGTTAGGGTTAGGGTTAGGGGTTAGGGTTAGGGTTGTTAGGGTTAGGGTTAGGGTTTAGGGTTAGGGTTGGGGTTGGGGTCGGGGTCGGGGTCGGGGTCGGGGTCAGGGTCGGGGTCAGGGTTAGGGTTAGGGGTTTGGGTTAGGGTTAGGGTTAGGGTTAGGGTTAGGCGGGTCGACCTACCGGGCACCATGATGGTGAGGGTGGTATCCTCAAGAAACCTCTCTGTCCAGTACACAGATGGCCTGGAACACACCCAGTGGGGCTCAGCGTGAGGGAAGCCAGGGTCCCGGCGGTCTGTGCCCCATTCAGCGGCAGAACTCAGGGCACCCCATAAATACAGACAGCGGGGAGAGGGGCAGCTGGAGGGCGAGGGAGGGAGAGCTTCCAGGTGGGAAGAAAGGAGAGAGTAAGTAGATGGGCAGCAGAGGCAGGTCAGAGACGGACACACGGATGCGGGAGAAAAGTCTTAGAGGCACGGGGAGTGTAGGTTATTCTGAGCAAGGCTGGTGCTCAGAGAAGGAGGGAGCTGGAAAAAAAGAGGCACAACTGAGAAGCGGCCCGGCGTCTAGGAGCAGACCCATCTCAAGCCAGGGGCTGGGGTCCAGAGCCCCAGGTAGAGCTGGGAATCCCGGGGCGGGGCGCCCAGTGCAGAGTCCTTCCCCCAACCCTGTCCCAGGAGAGGACGGGTGGTTCCGGTGAAGGCCCCCCTTCCCGACGATGCGGGCATGGCGGGGGTGGGGGGCGGGACTCACGAGTAGACACAGAACTGCAGCTTCCTCATGCGGGGGGAGATCCAGGCGTAGCCCCTGCAGCAGCACCCCATCCTGCGAGAGACAGGGCCCCGCCCGCCTCTGCGCTGCACTCCGCTGGTTCGGCCAGTACCCAGAGGCTGTCGAGGGCACCGTGTCCCCTCTCAGACCCCCCCCATCCAGGCCGCCCAACACCTCACCTGTCTTTCAAGACTTGCCAGCTGGTCTTGGGTTTCGCCAACTCAGACAGCCGCCTCTTCCTCCGCTCCCAGCCCACGGAGGTGCCAGGGCTCCTCTGGGAGATGGACAGCCGGCTGAGGGAAGGTGGACCCTGAGGCCAGAGCCCTTGCTCCCCCGGCGGGGTCGAGCCATCCTTGCGCTCTCGCCTCGCCCTCTGGAGGAGAGGCCTGGCACCACGAAGACCTGATCTGAAATCCTAGCTTTGCCACCAGCCGGCGCCCTCGGCTCCCTCCTTTGTGAGATGCGACAGAGACCTGCTCCCGCCTGCAGGGCCACAGAGGGGATGCTGAGCCATGGACAGTGCCCCCAGGAAGCCCCCGGAGCACCAAGACATCCAGTCTCCTGTCCCGGCTCAGACCCCTCCCCGAGCCCGGCCCATGCGCAGCACCGCCTTCTACGCGGCGCATGTCCCCTGCCCCGCCGGCCGCATCACACAGCGCCCTGTGCGCTCATCACACGAGCTCCGTCACTGCGCGGGGAGGGCAAAGGCCCCTCTGCAGTGCCTGAGGGGACACGTGCTTACCCAGGACCAGGAGGCGGGGGGTTCCAGCCGAGGAATCCGTGCACACAGTAGGGCACAGGGTCCCTCCCTAGAGGGAGCACCCGCGGTTTTTCCGGGTGTCCTCCTGGCCACCGAAAGCGTTTCTGGCAATTTATGGTACTTGCAATGGTTTCAGCTTTGGGGGTTGGGAGACTCTCCCCCCTTTCTTTTTCTTTCTGTCGGATGGAGGGCTCACGACCTCTCAACCCTGCCACCTCCAAAGTTGGCATTTGCGAAGGGTTTTCCACGACGACTCCCCTGCCACCTGGACAGGGCCTGTTTGCCGCCTTCCTCCTCAGAGCAGCGAGGTGCTGACTTCACCCCTAGAGTGAGCACCCAGGCCAGTGCAGCCACGCCCAGGGCCACCCCCACCCACCCCAGCCTGGGCGCCCGCTTCTGCCCACCTCATCTCAGGCACACCCTCCTCCGCGTCTTTCTCCAGAACCCTCTCCAGCTCCGCGAGGGCCTCCTCCGGGTTCTGGGCGTCCACGAATTCTTCCCCACTCACCTCCTCAGGGGGAGTTTCCTCCTCTTGGTCTTCCAATCCCAGGTCCCCATCGACCAGACCCCAGTATTTGGGGTCCCTGGACCCTCGGTTCTCATACGTGGGGCCCTGGAGGCCCAGGGTGCCGTCATCCTGCCCCCTTTCTGGCTGGTCCTCGGACTCCGACATGCGGTGGCTGTAGAGCGAGCTTTGCTGGTGGTCCCCCATGTGCTGGGCCCTTCCCAGCCCTGCAGCTTTGCTCTTGTTGTCTGTGGTCACCCTCGTGGGGCCACCCACCCCTCCATCCTCAGCCCGCCCGCTCCCCTCCTGCCGCTCTGCTTTCCTGCTCCTTAAACATGCACCTACCTCAGGGCCTTTGCACTTGTCAGTGCCTCTGCCCGCACACATCCTGGGGGCTCCTCCTCGGGAAGGCAGCCCCATTCCTGGGTCTCCCTGCATCTTGGCACTGGTTTGACTTCTCCATGGTGTTTGGCACAGCCTTGTAGCAAGTCGCCTTCCCAGGCCAGGGGCCGTGAGTGCCCCATTCACTGGTGTCCCGGGGCCTGGGAGGGCTCTCGGGGAAGGGCTGCTGAGTGAGCAGTTACCCTGGGAACAGGGCCCGGTGCTGGGGCACACACCCAGCTCCACCCTACGTTTCTTCTTGGTAAAGGACCTGTTTGTGTTCACATGGGGGAGCCAGTGCTGGGTGTGACAGTTCACCGGGGGTCCCACCTCTTCCCCAGGACTGGCTCAGGTATGGGACCTGAGAGGAGGTCTGCAGGGGCTTTGAGGGATGGTGTCCTCGCTCAAATAACCTCGCTTGGTTATTTCTGGGACTGTGTGTGATGTCTAGAGCACAGGCAGTCATCTTGCTACCAGACACAAGTCCATGTGGCCGACGCACAGGGAGGCCAAGCAAACTGTAACATGAGAGTTTGGAGCAGAGAAAGGTCTGTCACAGGGCCGAGCAAGGAGACGGGTGCTAGTGCCTCCCAAACGCTGAACTTCCCGAAGGGTTTCAGCAAAGCCTCTTTAAAGGCAAGGTGTGGGAGGGGAGTGGTAGGTTGTTGCAGGCTTCGTGGTGCTGGAATCCTTTGTTCTTGCAGCTGCCCACCTATGTCAGGTCACGATGTCCCTGTAAACCTCCAGCAAGACAAATGTTATTCTCTGTCCTGCACTTTTTATCTCCCTATGAATGGGCTCTTAAAGGTCAGAGCCCTGAGAGGAGGGCTCTCCTGTATAGTTCAGGCTACAGGCGCCATTCTTGTACAAAAGGTGCAGAGCCAGCATGACTAAGCACAGGCAACAGGGCACAAAGGTTAAAGCAAAAGAAACAGATCTAACATGGAGTCAGATTTGTTCTTCCCTGTTACATTGTGACCATGAGACCTGCTAGTCTAAGGATGTGAGCTGAAAGATCATTGACTTGGCAACCCTGGAGCCTTCTGTGTCTGGGCTTCCTGTTACTTGACACAAATAGTTCTCTTAAGGCTGAGTTGTTGTAGCTGGGCTTCCTGTTCCCTGCAGCCACAAGCGCCCTGATACATACCCTTCCAGCCCCAGCATTTCACGAGAAATAACTTCAGCGATAGCTGGTGTTCAGAATAGGCTGTCTCACATGGTCAAAAGAAGGTGATCATGGGAATTCCCTGGTGGTCCAGTGGTTAGGACTCAGCACTTTCACTGTCAGGGCCAGGGTTCAATCCTTAGTCAGGGAGCTAAGATCCTGCAAGCCATGCGGCCAAAAAAAAGAAGAAAAAAAAAAGTGAGAAAGTGATTGTTAGGATAGTTGCTTGGTCCTCACCGCCCCAACTCCCCCACCCCCCCATCCCGGGATCCAGCCTTTGCGAAACCCCCTCAGGGCATCACAGGACCACATCCCCCAAACCCTCTGTGTGGAGACCCCACCCAGCGTGACTCTCCATTCCTTTGCTTGGCTGTGCCGTATGCATCATTTAAGACTCCCGTGCCCCTGATGCTTTGCCCCTGGGTGCGGCCTTGCAATCACCCCTGTGAGGGTCCCAGACAGGAAGGCCTTAGAGAGCGTCTGGTTCAATCTGGGAGATCCTCGAGAAATCCCATTGTTGTGAAGTGTCCTAAACCCTCACCTGGCACGCAGTGACTCACAAAAAGATAAGTTCCACGTTGCTGCAACCAGAGAGATCTGTCATCACTGCAAAGTCCCACACAAAATCTTTGTTCAAAAGTGAGGCCGCTTATAAAAAACAAGATCCTATATATAAAATAGATAACTAGTAAGGACCTAATATATAGCACAGGGGGAACTGTACTCAACACTCTGTAATAACCTATACGGGAGTAGAATCTTAAAAAGAGTGGATATATGTATATGTATAACTGAGTCACTTTGCTGTACAGCAGAAACTAACACAACACTGTAAATCAACTATACTCCAATAAAAATCTTTTTAAGAAGACACTAAAACAATCAAGGCCACTTAGCTACGAGATGGCTCACTAGACCCACTTCCAACGAGCTGCGACCACGTCTGCCATCCTGCACGAGGGAGCCCATCAGGCAGTGCATTTGTCCCCATGACAACCCCAGGAGAGGGGACCGGTCACAGCCCGGGGTGCAGACTGGGCACCGGGCTCCAGGGAGGCTGAGACGTGGCCTCCCCCACCCACAGTCACATAGGAGGGGCAGGGTGTGGCTTCACCGTAGCCCCACATCCCTCTTTCCAGCCAGGCGCTCATATGGGGTCAGGAGAGGGGCCTGGTTCCAGGGGCCAGAGCTCTGCCAGCCCTTGAAGGAGAGCCAGGGTCCATCTCTGCTGCTCAGACAAATAAAGAAGCAAGGAAGTTCACAGTCCAGGAGCTGAGATTCACTGGGCAGAAAATGAAGGGGCACTAGCACAGGCTGAGGGGCATTTGGAACTCTGATGGAGAGACAGCAGGGGCAGCAGCTGGGAGACATCTCACTGCAGGTGCTGCGCCCGGGGCATGCAGACAGCAGAAAATGAGATGGGATCCCTCTCAATTCCTCTTCCACCGCTGCATACGAATCACCACAAACTTAGAGGCTCACACGGGAGGGATGTAACATCTGACAGTTCTGGAGGTCAGATGTCCCAGATGGGTCTCACTGGGTGGGGCTGGCTCCTTCCTGAGGCTCCAGAGGACCAGTCCCCTGCCCCTCTGGGGGTCGGCAGAGTTCGGTTCCTCGCAGTACCGGGCCTGGGTCCCTGCTTCCTCCTGGCTGTCAACGGAGGGCTGCTCACAGCACCTAGACTCCCCCGCATGTCTCGGCCCAGACCCCTTCCTCCATATTCAAGACAAGGCCTGTCTCTTTATGGTTAGACTCTCTTCTCAATTCTCTGACCACAGCCAGGAGAGGGTCTCAGCTTTTAAGGACCCACAGGATTAAGTTCTGCCCACCTGGGTCACCAGGCTAGTCTGCCCGCCTCACCGTCTGCATCCCTTTGGCCATATAAGGTGACAGGTTCCCAGGGTCTAGATATTAAGATGGGTGCATCTTTGGGGACCGTTATTCTTTCCACCACACTTACCTCACACCACACTCCAAGGCAACTCTAAATCAATTCAGGATTTAAAGGCCAAAACAAAACTTTAAAACTTATGGAAAGAAATTAAGGTAGCCATCTTTCTGCCCTTGGGGTAGGAAAGGGCTTTTATTGAACAAGACACAAAAATGCTAATCATAAATGACCGTGCTAAATTTCACTTCTTCTGATCATCAAAAGACAATAAAATAAAATCTAGACACGCGGCACAAAAACAGACACATAGATCAATGGAACAGCATAGAAAGCCCAGGAATAAACCCATGCAATTAATTAACTGGTCAATTAATCTACAACAAAGGAGGCAAGAACATACAATGGAGAAAAGACAGTCTCTTCACTGAGTGGTACATGTCAAAGAATGAAATTGGGGCTTCCCCGGTGGTGCAGTGATTGAGAGTCCGCTTGCCAGTGCAGGGGACGCGGGTTTGCGCCCCGGTCCAGGAAGATCCCACGTGCTGCGGAGTGGCTGGGCCCGTGAGCCATGGCCGCTGAGCCTGCGCGGGCCCATGAGCCATGGCCGCTAAGTCAGTCTGCACGTCTGGAGCCTGTGCTCCGCAAAGGGAGAGGCCACAACAGTGAGAGGCCTGCGTACCGAAAAAAAAAAAAAAAAAAAAAAAAGGAATGAAATTGGAAGATTCTCTAACACCATACAGTAAAACAAACTCAAAAGGGAGTTTAAGACCTTTAAGACCTAAACGTAAGAGGAGAAACCAGAAAACACAGGCAGGACACTCTCTGACATAAGTTGCAGCAACATTTTTTTGGACTTGTCTCCTAAAGCAAAGGAAATAAAAGCAAAAATAAACAAATGGAACCTAATTAAACTTAAAATCTTTTGCACAGCAAAGGAAACCATCCACAAAATGAAAACGCAGACTACCGAATGAGAGAAAATATTTGCAAATGATATGACCGATAAGGGGTTAATATCCGACATATATAAACAGCTCATACAAGTCAACATCTAGCAGCACTACTTACAATAGCCAATATGTGGAAGCAACCTTAGTGTCCATCAACAGATGAATGGATAAAGAAGATGTGGCACATATATACAATGGAATATTACTCAGCCATAAAAAAGAATGAAATAATGCCATTTGCAGCAACATGGATGGACCTAGAGATTATCATACTAAGTAAGTCAGACAGAGAAAGACAAATACCATATGATATCAATGATATGTGGAATCTAAATGTGACATAAATGAAGTTATTTACAAAACCGAAATAGACTCCCAGACATAGAAAACAAACTTATGGCCAAAGGAGAAATGGGGTGGAGGAGGGATAAATTAGGAATTTGGGATTAGCAGATACAAACTACTATATATAAAACAGATGAACAACAAGTGCCTAGTGTATAGCACAGGGAACTATATTCATTATCTTGTAACAACCTACAATAAAAAAGAATCTGAAAAAGGGTATATATATATATATACATACATACATATATATATATGTATGTATATATATAACTAAATCACTTTACTACACACCTGAAACTAACACAACATTGTAAATCAATTCAATTTTAAAAAAGGAAATCAAGGAACTAAGGAAAAGCAAACTAACAAAAACATCAACGCCAAAAAAAAAAAATTGTGGGGGGGCTTCCCTGGTGGCGCAGAGGTTGAAAGTCCTCCTGCCGATGCAGGGGACACGGGTTCGTGCCCC